TGGTAACCTCAGCCTCTCCACATCTTCTACCCTTTTCAGATTAGAATTCCAGATTGGTTGTATCTTCTCATGCAGCTTGAAGTGGAGGGTAGAAGTTCTAGAAGGGATTGTCTTTAGTCTCCTTCTGTTCTTTTTTGTGAACCTGAGATGTCTGAGGGAAATGATACAGCAATAGGGCAAGGTATATCCATGCTGTGTATTTTGGAGACATGGCAGCTCCTCTCTCCTAGGGTGAGGATCCATTGGGAGCAGTTCACTTGAGAGGCTGTGTGGTGACTTCAGTGGAGAGCAGCACTGATGGTAAGAATGAACGTCTGTGGGAGACAGGTGTGGCCACTTCTACCCTCTATCTGTTAATTTTGAGCCAATCAATCATCAGTGCCTAAATTTACTGTCTGAAAACTTTGGTGGATGCTGTGGCCAGCCTATGGGAGACCCTGCTCTGAGATGATGGATCGGAGGTGCAAGGCAAAGACCCTGGGGCTTGTGGGTCTGGTAATGTATCTGTGTTCTACGACCCTAGCTCTAGGGCTTATTTGATTTGAGCCAGGGTTAGAACCTTAAATCAACCCACATATATCACAGACACCTGGAAATCTAAAGTCTGAATACAAAGATAAAAAGTTGAGAGTTCCTGGAGCTGAATCTTGCTAACAGCAACAGCTAAAGGTTACTGACAATGAAAATATTTCTCTAAGCAGTTGTTTTAGGAAGGAACCACTTCAACACATTCTGAACTCTCTCAGATGAATTTACATTTTCCACAAGTTAAGAGTCTTTAGTGGGAAGGGTTTTGCCCTCAGGGCACCTTTCCCACAGGTCCATTGAAGGGTGTGAGCTTTCTCTTAAAGGGCAGAGTAATCTCTTTAACAATTACAGATTTGTCTACACCCTCCTAGTCCACAACCTTAGGTCAAACCCTTTTCCACAAACTACAATCATTTTTTTCATACTTTTCTGCTCTCTCCTGCTACTGATTTGATTAAGAACCGTGTGGAGTAGCCTTGTCACAGCTTGAATAATATGCTGTCTTGAAATTTCCTCTGCCAAACAAATTAACCCATTACTTTTGAATTTGGGCTCACTCAGATTTTCTCACATATACAGGATGCATCTATATTCTTTACAAGCATGATGGCCTCTAGCCCAGATCCCAATAGTCTTTGTTTCCCCAAGAAACCTTGTCAACTCTGGCTCTACTGCCTATACTTGGGATTCTGGACTTCTGAACATCTACCAGCATGGCCCATTAAGCTCTGCTTGCAGGGATCTAGGGCTTCTCTAGCCCACAACTCTGAAATTTTTCACATTTATTCCATAAACCAGTTCCAAAGACCTACAAGCTATATACCATCAGGTTTACCACGGCAATATCTCCACTCCTGGTACCAGTTTTCAGTATTAGTTACTTTTCTCATTACAGTGACAAAATACTTGACAAATGCAACTTAAGGATGGAATGATTTACTATGCTCACAGTTTGGGGGTAAAGTCCATCATGGCAAGGAAAGCAAGGGCATGAGGTAGCTGGTTACAATGTATCCACAGTTAGGAAACAGAGATGAAAGCTACCTTTGGCTCACTTAAGTTTTATGCAAGCCAGGACCCTAGTCCATGGGATGGTGCCCACGTTCAGGGTGGGTCATCCCTCTTCAACGACTCCGCTCTGAAAACTCTCTTAAGGACACATCCAAAAATGTGTAAGAGATTACAAACCTGGTCAAGTTGACAATGAAAATTAACCATCACAGGGTGTAAATGAGAATATTCATGTTACCAAAAGCTACAATGCTAAACAGTCAGGCACGGTGGCTCAAACTTCTAATTCCATCACTCAGTAGGCAAAGTAAAAGGATTACAAGTTTCAGGGCAGCCTTGGCTACCTAGTGAGACTATGTCAAAACATTTAAAAATCTGGGTTAGAGAGATGGTTCCGTGGTTGAGAGCAGTAGTTGCTCTTGCAGAAGACTGGTTCGGTTCCCAGCACATACCTGGCAGCTAACAACCATCCATACACAACTCGTTTCCAGGTGATCCAACACTGCCTCCTGGCCTCCATGGGTATTGCACACATGGGTGCACTTACATATATTCAGGCAAAACACTCATACACATAAAATTAAAATAAATTTAAAAAAAATTTTGGGGGGGTCTTTTTGAGACAGGGTCTCCCTTGTCTACATAGTGAGTTCCAGGACAGCTGGGGCTACAGGGAGACCCTGTCTCAAAAAGATCAAAAAAAAGAAAAGAAACAAAGAAAAAGAAATGAGGGAATAGAATATTCACAGCCCAGCCCAAAATGTTTTTTTAAAAAATTAAAAAAAACAAATGAGGCATGCAGGATAAGGAGTTTAAGGTGATGTTTAGCTTCATGACCCAGTTTGAGGCTAGCCTGGACTCCATGAAACTCTGTCTCAAAAACCCAAAATAATAATGAAAATAATAATAAAATTTTTTAAAGCCAAACAATGTCAGTCTAACTCTACAGAATAAAAAACAAGCCAAGATCAGAGCAGAGGAGATAGCTCAGTGAGTAAAAGGTGCTTGGCACTGACTCTGAAGACCTAAATTCAATCCCTAGGACCCACATGGTGGAAGGAAAAAACTGATTGTCCCAAGTTGTCCTCTGCCCTCCACATACATGCCATGCACACTTGTACATACATATATACACACACAAATAAATATACATCTTCAAAAATTAAAAAAAAAGAACAAACACAAGATCATTTGCCTCTTGTTTTAAAAAACAACCATAGTGGTTT